GTTCTGTCAGTGTCCTCAGTGGGCTTTCAAAAATGTGATGGGCAGTCAGGAAATTGGATGTGTAATTTATGCCCCATAAAGCTTAAAGGTACTCATTGGATTTTGGGCCTTTCTATGTGGCCAGGCTGTGAAAAAGTCTCACACATGTGCAGGGGCAGACTGACAACTCATGGGGCCCCCGGGCAATAGGGGATCATGGGGCCCATGTCCTTGCCCAAATTCAAAAAAGGCTATGAAAAAGGTACCAGGAGCATCTCATGGGGCCCTCTACTGACCCCGGGCCCTCGGGCAGTGCCCAAGTTTCCAAATGGTCAGTCCGCCCCTGCACATGTGGTATCGCCATACTCAGGAGGATTCTCAGAACGTATTTTGGGGTGATTTCGTAGTATGTTAGAAATATCTTATATAATGACAACTTTTTGTTAAAAACATGTTTTAATTTTACACATTTTCCAAAAACGTGTGGCAAAAAAATGACATGTTTAAAAGACTCATTATGCCTCATAGAAAATACATTGAGGTGTTTGATTTCCAAAATGTGGTCATTTTGTGGGTGTTTTCATTGTCCTGGTGCTCCAGGGCCTTCAAAAGTGTGATAGGTAGTTAGGTAATTTATGCTCCCTAATAACCCAAAAGGTGCTTCTTGGACTTTGGGTCCCTCTATGTGTCTAGGCTGGGAAAAAGATCTCACATATGTGGTATCCCCTTACTTGGGAGAAGTATCATAATGTGTTTTGGGGTGTCATTGCAAGTATGCCTATGCCGTATGTGAGAAATACGTTGTTAAAGTGACAATTTTGTGGGGAAAAATTTTATTTAATTTTTTTATTTTGCAAAGCATTGTGGAAAAAATTTACAACTTCAAAAAATTTACCATGCCTCTTGCTAAATCCCTTGGGATGTATATTTTCAAAAAAGGGGTCATTTTGGGGGTATTTGTACTGCCCTGGCATAATAGGACCTCAGGAATTGAGATAGGCCCCCAGTACATCAAGACTGATCAATTTACATGTACATGAACCATAACTTGCATACCTTTCCCACAGACTAAATAATATACACTGATTTTGGGTTATTTTTTTACCAAAGAAATGTAGCAGATTCAATTTTGGCCTAAATTTATGAAGAACAATTGTTTATTTACAAAATGTTATAAAAGTAAGAAAAAAATGCTGTTTTTCTTTTCATTTATATGACAAAAAGTAAAAAACGCAGTGGTGATTAAATACCACCAAAATAAAGCTATATTTGTCTAAACAAAATGGTAAAAATTTAATTTGGGTACAGTGTTGCATGACTAATTGTCATTCAAAGTGTGAGAGCACTGAAAGCAGAAAACTGGCAGGAAGGGATGAAAGTGTCCAGTATTGAGGTGGTTAAAAAAAACCCAGCAGGGTTTTTAGAGATCACATTTTCACAGGTGCTGCTGCTGTATTTTATCCAGGCCAGAATCAGTGACTGTTAGGTAGTTGTTCCTGTGTTCTGGCTGTTTAACTGTAGCTGCCCATAACTTCTTGATCTAAATCCGAGTAACAGATGAGTCTCTGTCTTATTGTTATCTCACATGCATAGTGCCTGATATCTAGGTCTTTGCTACTATATGTGTGTAGTGGGTAGTGCTCACCTTCCATTATATTAGTAAGTGAACAAGTTTATGTGCAGGCTCTATTATTTGAGTTACCTTTCTGGTCTGGGATTCTATAGCTAGGTTTAGCTCAGCGCTAAATAACCAGAATAGGCTACATCTAGATTAAACATCTGGGAGCCCAGAAGGTAGATTTTGTACATTAAATGTATGTATTACTATTAAGCTCTGATTATAAAAAGCTCATATTCTTCCCATACTGGTGTGTAACTACAGTATATACTTATTACTAATGCTATCTGCTGGCTGCAGTAGCTCCTCTTCTTTCAATTACTTTGATTAGATTATTGGGTAATTTCCCGAAAGATAATCCCTTCTGCTCACGGATCCCTGTCCCGAGTGGAGGTACTGCCAACTTTATTATCAAACCCACTCTTCCACTTAGCGAAGGTTCTGGTTCTGGTATTTACCTATAGGTTTAGTGCAATATCCTGCTTGGGGAGGGCCATTCTCATAATTCCCTGCAAAAGAGGGCTAAATGTTATAATTAAAATCCCTTATTTTTTAATTAAGCTAGTTAAAATACCTAAATTCTGTCTTTATTTTTGCTTTGTATAATCTTGTGTGCAGCAGCACTTGAGAGAGGATAAAGGAAGGCCAGCAATTTGAGCAATTAATGCTCAGCTGCTTTGAACACAGGTACCAGTTTAGCAATGGGCACAGGGATGATGTTAGCAGCGTTCTGTTTTTCCTTCATTGCCAGCAAGGAAAAGGCAGAACCTATGCAAGCTATACTGCCTAACTGCACTGGTAGTAAAGACATACCTATAGCAGCTGGCAATGGTGTCTGGATCACCAGAATGCCTTGTTCACAACTGTATTTGTCAGGAACACCCTGATGCATTTTTCAGTGCTGCTAAAATGTTCTTCATTATCAGAGTACAAAAAAACCTGACACAGGTTCCAATCCTTCCAAAATTTTGTTATTGTATTAAATATAAAAAACTTATTTTTTAAGATATCAGCCACATAGGTGCATTGTTTTCAGTGGGTTGGCAGAGAAAGGGATAGTAAACCACAAACACTGTGTAGCTCTGCAAAGCAGTTAGAGAGCCTGCATACATAATGAGTAAACATGACTGGTATAAAAATAAATTATTACAAACTATATGTAGAAACAAAGATTTCAAACAGTGAAATGAACCTGATGCTACTAAGGGCTATTTCACACTGGTAGTAATGCTAATCCACAGTGCACAGCTTTTCAGAGGTCAATATAGCAGCAGCTGGCAGGCATTCAGCAGGCACTACTGCTGCCTCCTGATGTCTGTTTTTTTTTTACATAGTGGGACCACACCACAACTGCGAGCCAAATGTTTAGCTTGCGATTGTGGTGCGGCGCCACTGATCTCTAGACATGTGCCGTTCGTTTCATTCCAAATCAAAATTCGGACAAATTTTTCATTATTCAGAAATTTGAATTTATCCGATTATCCAAATTACAATAGTAACAAATTTAAACAAATCCAAAATAATGAAACTAAATTTCGACTGAAATTCAAATTAAAAACGAATTCAATTCAAATTCGAAACAAATTAAAAATGAGAATAGAATAAAATAGAAAATAAAGGAATGGAATAGAACAGAAAAAATAGAGTAAAACAGAACAGAAACAGAATGGAAAATAATAGAAAATCAAATAGAATAGAAAATAAAGGTATACAATAGAAAAGAATAAAACAAAATAGAATAGAAAATAAAAGAATAGAAAATAATAAAGCAAAACGGAGTATAAAATAAAAGAATATAATAAAATAGAATAGAAAATAAGTGAAAAATAGAATAGAATTGAAATAAATAGAATAGAATAGAAAAGAATAGAAAAAATAAAATAGATTAGAATAGAATATAGCTGCCTTCCAAAATTTGAATTTTGAAAAGAATAGCCTAGAACAATACAGAATAGAATAGCAAATAAAAGAATACAATAAAATAGAATAAAAAATAAAGGAATAGAATTGAAAATAATAGATTAGACTACAATAGAACAGAATATAAGAGAAACAACAATAGAATAGAAAGAATATTCCAAAATTCTAATTTTTAATAGAATAAATTTCAATTCAAACAGAATTCAAATACAATAGACAAGCACAGAATAGAAAATAAAAAATAGAAAAAATATAACCATTTTCCGAAATGCAAATTTTGAATAGAATAAATTCAAATTCAATTTGAATTCGATGCAAATTTTCCAAATTTGGTAAAATTTAACTAAATTCAGAAAATTCGAATCAATTTCAAATAAACAAAATGAAACTAATTAAACTAAACAAAATGATTTAAATAACAAAACAAAAATATATTTTTTCATTCTGCACATGTCTCTACAGCCCAAGTTAAAATTTCCAAGTTAAAAGGCTTGCAGCCTCGGCTCTGTTGTCTGTAATGCTAAAATTACAGTGGCTTAGCAGCCTGGTTTACCATCCCCCACTCCGGTCACGTGTGTGTGAGAAATCCCTAAGAGAAAATGAAAATAAAGGCATGTTGTGAAGGAAGAGCTTTATACTTATGTGATCAGAAGGAGGTGAAGTAAATGTTCACACTCTTGAAGAGGTCCAGCCTCTGCTTCATGCCTCCCATGCTCAGTGCTGCAGTTCCTCCCGTCAAACCCCAGGTCACTATTATGTTCTATAGTGACAGGGACTACAAGCTACAAGGTCACATACTCTCTAAAAGTGTTGAACAACAGTGGTCTTGAGCTCTTCAAAAGAGTGAAGACCTACTGCCACCCACACATGAGTGACACATAAGGATTCTTCTTCAACAGAATGCTGGCTATAAGCTATTAGATGATTTCCTTCAGCATAGGGGCTAAACAGAAAATCTAGCAGATTCCACCATCCACACTTTGGATGGACAAATCTCCTGCCGCAGCTTGGCTTGGCCAATGATTTTCCAGCTGACACCTTTGGTTGTCAGGTGGGAAAGGGATGACAGATCCACCCACAATGCAAATTCCCGATGAACCAGCCAAAAATTGTACAGTATATGGCTAACTTTAAGCTGAAGTATCAGACTTAAATTAGGGAATGCTAAATAAGGGGCAAATCTAAGATTTTCATAAGTAAATCTGCACAATTATGAATGCATTTTCAGATTTATGCATAAGCTGCATTTCGCTGTATGTAATACATGCTTTTGAAAAATTCCTGTGAGATAGAACGTCTTAAATTCAAATAATGACATTAAAACATACAGTACACATTAACACAAAGTAAAACGTGGTTTTCATATGCAATAAATTAACAATCCCCTAATATGATTTACTCTGGTTTGCTATGCCACCATTACTGTTATTCTGACGGTCATTAAACAGTAGAAATACTTCAATATATAATTAGGAATGCATACCAGAAAATCCCATCAGGGCTCCTTCCCTTGCCTGTCTCCGAAGCCCTTCTCCATCTTTGTAGTCTATGTAAACAAGATCAATGGCTTGCAGTCCAAATGCTTTGGCAACAACAATAATCTTCTGCCTGGCATACAGGACATCATGAGTGTCTTTGCTGCTTGTTGCACCTTTAAAATATGGATATGCAAGCGTTAAGGATCAACGTCAAATATACTGGACTTAGAAGGTACATTTTATAATACTAATCTCAAAACAGCTAATGTGATAAAAGTAAGCAAATCTCAGTCAACCTTAAAAAAACAGACTGATGGATTTACTAAATATACAAGCATCTATTTTGGCAACTTTCAGGAAATGATTTAATTATATCATTAACGAAAACAACGTGTATCTGTTTTTTTGACATTGATAATGGTTAATAATAGTCATCTTACATGTACTTGACATATCATAGCTGAATGTCTATGAGTGAGCTCTCCATCATCACAAACATAACAAATTAGGACTACAGTAAAACATAGTCCGAAATGCAGTATTTATGACACAAATTGAGAAGAATCAGCAGGTGCTTTGGATAATATGCCCAGTGCATGTTTGCAGGGTGCACATTTTAATCCATCATTCCTATATACTGATCAGCATATGTCTCGGATTCCCCACAATCACTCATTCCAAAGAAAACAAGGCAAACAGCAGTAAAATACAAGTAATAAATACAATGACATCCGTTCATAGTTCACTTAATTACCATTAATATAACATTAGGTATTATGTTTGACAACTGTAATAAGATGGAGAAATTAACTAGAAACTATTTGTACACATTAACTGAATGTACTGTAATATTTTGTGTAATGAAACAGTGTAGACAATGGTGACAAAGCATATAGGCATGACTTAAAGTGTTACTAAACAACAGTAAAATCAGTCTGTATATGCAGTAAAGCATGCTTGTTACACTCACTGTGGAAACTAAGGGGTTAATCCTCTGCATTTTGTAAAAAGGCTGTTTGATTCTGTCTTCCCTGATTTTCCCCTTCTTCTGCTGTCCCCAATCCATCTGCTGATACAATAGAGCCTTGGGGCAAGCTGCACATGCTCAGTTTGGTGTATTGCTAGAGATTTTTTTTTTTGGGGAAAGTGCATGTCACCAGCACAGGGCCAAAACACACTGTCCAGACAGAGGGTCAGGGGGTTAAACAGCCTCATAGGACAGTCAGAGGAGAATGAAAACTCTTTCTACAAGATTAACCACTGCTCGGCCGGACACTGATAGAAGTTGCAATACTACTGATGAGAAAAGGTATTTAGCAGTTTATATTTACTAAATTTCCATGTTGTATGTACTGTGGGAAACCAGATATAGTAAATGCAGGGTCCTGGGTTTAGTAACACTTTAACAATGAACTGATCTAGCTAGACCTTCTGTCCATGGTAGCAAGCAGATGGTCTCTGGACGATAATTCTTTACAGGAAACAATGGATTTGTTTTAAAAACCTATTTAGATCATTACTCTGAGGTAAGGGGTACTGGCTGTGCTGCTCGCTTCCTCCCCTCTACTCTTATATTTGTAATAAAACAGCAAGATTGGCAGAGCAGATCTTACAGGTTTATAGAGAACTTCTCATATTTATGGACACTCTAAAATCTGCAAACAATCCATACAAGCACATATACGGTATGTTTGAACACCAAAAGCAAGTAACAGGTTGTGGCTCGCAATGCCAAAATAGATTTGTACCTACAATGGAGGGCATTCTACAAATCAAGAAAGTTCAAGAAGGCCACCTTCTTCTACAGAACAGTCAGTGATGTATTAGAGCAATCTTAACCTTGGCCAAACCAACACTGAACCCATGATCCTCTTAGTTCTCTACTATGACAATGAAAAAGGACCACCTTTTCTGTCCAGACAAGTGACAGGATTTTGGGGCATTTTTATGGCTCAGCTGACTGCTTTGTACACTCAATAGGCAACACTGTAACAAGAATTTTTACAATTTTCCTGGTGATCATTTATTGAAATGACAGCTTGGAAACTAGACTGTGGAGTCTCCTGTTATTTCATAGCCCTGGACCTCTAACGATATGTTGCCAAGCTTACAGTGATGCTCGACTCAGCCCTTGATGGTTCTCAAAGGAGAATGACACCTAGTGTGGGACTGATAAAAACAGAGGATTCACAGTATCTACTTTTTACAAGTTTTAGAAAATTTGACAAAGCCAGTCTTATTTTTTTCTTTGTTTCAGATAACCAGGTAAGGGTATACAGGATTACACAGGATATCTAAAGGACCAAGAAATTTGCACACAAATTGCCCACGGACCTGTCATTCTAATTGGGCACTGAAGGGGGGTGCCTGCGAGCAGAGGCGTAGCTTGAAGCTTGTGGGCTCCCCCAACTACCACGCCGCCACTTCTTAGAGACACTAAGAATCTGAGGAATTAGGCAGCTGACAGATTATATCATTTTCTTTCCTTTGACCACAGGTCAGTGTTGATGGTGGGATCCCTCCTGCAACGTTATTGTGTTCTGCCGCTAGGTGAAGAGCTTTCCCAGCCAGCAGAACACAATGCTCACTGGTGGTGGCTATAGCTCCTGGCAGTGATTGCATGTATAAAAATATCTGACAGGCTGGCTACACTGAAGTCAATCGATGGATCGATGAAAGAAAATGCCTGTGCACATTACCTCCTGCACACATCACCCTCCTCCCTGTACGCAATGCCCCTCCTGTACATATATGCCCCTCCTGTACACATTACTCTCTCCCTATACACAGTGCTCCCTCCTGTACATATCACCACCACCTCAGTGTACATATTACCCCATCCTTGTACATATTACTCCCTGCTAGACATATTACCCCCTCCATGTACATATTACCCCCCTCCCTATACATATTATTTGCTCCCTGTACATATTATCTGCTCCTTGTACATATTACCCCTTCCTGTACATATTATCCACTCCTTGTACATATTACCCCCTCCATGTATATATCAACCCCCTCCTGATTGTTGCATTAAATCACTGCTCAGCCTGGCAAAAGTTAAAGCTGTTGTGGTCTTGCTGGGCTGCACACTGGATATCCGTGCATTCCAAAAGGAAGCTGTGAGTTGGGCTCTCTCCTCACATTCCTGAGATCCTGGTCTATTCTTCACAAGGGCAGCAAGAGCAGTAGCTATACTACTTATTCCCACAAGAAGCCCTGACTGAGTACTAGAAAGTGCTGAAAGTGCTGATTGGAGGCTTCCCAAAAAGAGGTCTGTTGCTTACCTGGGGCAGTCACAGTGTGAGAGATCCGGCTTTCTATTACACAGATTGTTCAGTGCAGAATCACTGTACTAGACCTGCAGCGGCCGACCGGGCCCCCTGAAGCATGAGCAGGGTTGCAGGTGCGACCCCTGACGCTACGTCTCTGCCTGTGAGCACCAAGCTGATTTTTTGACAGAGATAACACCATTTTTGTTGCATCCCTATCTAAAGCACAGAGCTGTTGCTGAAAAAAAAAAATAATAGTTTATTATCAGTATTATAGGGGCATGGTCATAGACCTACAGCAATGTGGCATCTAACCCATTTATCTGATGCGCTGGTGTGCATATTTATTTTTGGCTTTCCAAAAAAAAAAAAAAAAGTTTAGCAAACTGGTGATATTCAAGGACATCTACCGATCATGAATCTGCCAGATCAATTGCAAGTTAACACCTCTAACTAAAAAAAGGAAAACTACAGGATGATCCTAAAGCAAGCCTAGTCAAACATTAAATACAGACCTGTTGTTCCTCCAACGCAGTATTTTAAAATGATCCCTTTTCTTAAATTACACTGCTTGAGGTTTAAACACAATGTAAATAAGGGCCCTCACTGATGTGCTTTTGATGCAACTTTCGTGTGCTTTTGTGCAGCTTAAGGGCCCTTTCACACTGATGTTCTTTTGCTGCATTCCCATTGACTTACAATTGAAACTGCCTTTTTGGTGTGCTTTTGAAAAACTGCATGAAAGATGCAGTATGCAGGACTTTTCAAAGTGCAGCACTGCCTGCAGTGTAAACAGTTACATAGTTATATATGTTGTGATTTATACTGCATGAAACCAGCCAACCAAGAAATAAGAAATTAAAGAGAAAAAAAAGGATTGAAGAAATGCACCCATACTGATCAATAAAAATGTGTATTTTAAAATTTGTTTTTGCATTGAAAACTGCAATGCATTGCAACCACGATCAGTGGATGGTGGGTGCAATGCTTAGGTTCCTGCAGAGTATTCCTCCAACTGCAGTTTGATACTGATGTATGGACCTTTAGTTTTGGGGCAGAAAGAAGTATCAATGGACTACAAGTGTGGCATCATCACCGCACTTGTGCATCATTGAGAACTACAAGCTACAAGCAGACAAGACTTTTAGTTTTTTTTTCATTCACAAATTCCTGTGAATGAATTACACAGCAATCTATGAATGCAGCTGTGTATGACCAGAGCCATTCACAGCTGATCCAAATTCAACAATGACAGCAGATGGTAGGGAGAAGAACCCCTGGATTCTGTAAGGAGGGGGGGCATTGGACTCTGATCATGTTTCATCCTCAATACTGGTATAACATAAAACATGGTCAGAAAGATGAGCTTATCTTCTGATTATGATATCAAAATATAAAATGTATTTTTCATGCGTTGGTAACATATTGCAGCTATGCGATAGATCTAAAAAGCAGGGAGATCAGATTATACAGGCTGCAGGTTGAGTCATAAAGGTGGAACACATTCCTTCCACCATTCTTCACAAAGATGGGACTTTATGACAATTGTACACATCCATGCATGCAGGCATTACACATATTAGAAAAGCCATAAAAAGGGGAAAAAAACATTGACATTGAACTGACAACTCTGGAACTAGCTTTATGTTGGGGGGATGTCTTGATAAACAGGCACCACAAAGTTTCTTCTATTGATTTTATCAGAAATCTTTCTTCTGTGAATTTCTGATTTGATTTCGCTTTGTTATTGGGAATTTACTTTGCTGACTACTGGGCTAAAACAGCTATAGACACTGAAGTGCTCTCAATGAACAGGGGGATGGTACCAGACTCTTCATCAGATGTGTTTTTTCATGTTAGGTGCATGCTAAATTATATCGGATCGGATCATCTACTTCCTG